AAGAAAAACAAAACAAAACAAAACAAAAAAAGCAAAACCAAGCCAGCATTATTTTTAGCTTTCCTCTGATTTGGATATAACGACAGTCCTTAGTTTTTCCCCTGGCAACTCTCCTAACTTTTAAAGGAGTAAAATGAGGCAAAGGGGAGGAGCAGGGAATTGTGCCAAAGATCTTAAGGCAAGGTTATTGTCGTGAAGCTGGGCGGCAGGAATCCAGACGGCCAGAGGGCTTATCTGCTCTGCTCCAATGCAGGAAGGCTCCTCCCATTAGGAAGACTCAGGTGCCGCCTAAATCCGGTCCCTCCGAGACCAGGTATCAGTTTCCTTGGAGAAATAGTTTAAGCTTCTCAGCTTCAGACCTTCCTCTGAATATTCATATGGTGGTAATCGTGGTGCCCAACCCTTTGAGGGCAAGGGGTTGTTGCAATGGTAAGGATTTACAAACTAAGCTGAAAATAGCAAGGATGCTATTAAATAATAGCCGAAAATAAAAAAAATAGCAAAGACGATCTGTTTTTGCAAAATATCATTTAATACAGCTTAACAAGGCAGCGCCTGTTAGCTTAGATCTGCAGTTGGTGGACTATGGCTTATCGCCTCTTTTTCTACTGCCTGCAAGTAGAATGAAAAGAACAGTATTCCATGACATATGAAAATTATATCAAATTCAATTTCAAATCTAATCAATTTTCAAAATTTGCAGAAATTTGTGCTCTCTTATGATGAAAGTACCTACATAATATTCTTGAATTTGGCTGTTGACCTGTAAAACGTAAAATATTTACTACCTGGCCCTTTACAGAATAAGTTTGAAGATCCCTGGTTTGGAAGAACGTGGGATCGAGTGTCAGGTAAATCTGGAATGAGCCCCGGGGCTGCCATTTACTAATTGTATGACCTTGAGCAAGATATTTAACTTTTCAAGGCTTAGTTTCCCTGTCTATAAAATGGGCATACGAATAATATTTATCTTGCCAAGTTAAAGGAGATAATGCATTTGATGTGCGTAACACAATGCCTATCACATGGTAAGGGATCCACACATAGTTATTGCTTTGCCACAAAGCTACTGAAACTAAACAAAATGGCAAAACTGAGGAAATTTTATTTTTTTTATTTTTTTAAAGATTTTTATTTATTTATTTGACAGAGAGAGACACATCGAGAGAGGGAACACAAGCAGGGGGAGTGGGAGAGAGAGTAAGCAGGCTTCCTGCAGAGCAGGGAGCCCGACGCGGGGCTCGATCCCAGGACCCTGAGATCATGACCTGAGCCGAAGGCAGACGTTTAACGACTGCGCCACCCAGGTGCCCCAAAACTGAGGAAATTTTAAAGTTACCTTAGAAAATGCAATAGACTCTACAATATTATGATTAGGATTTTTTTTTTACTTATTTTAAATGGCATTTGGGATTAAACAACAACAACAAAACCTCCCTCAAAATAGAATGGATAAAAATGGTAAGTCCTATGTTAAGATAGAAGTGAAAACAGTCACACATGTAGGGAGAGCTGAGGTTGCAAGCCATGTATCTGAATATATCAAAACCCTCCCCTCTTCAGACACATGGATACTGAATTTTGAAAAAAGTTAATAAAAGTCAGAAAAGAAAATGGCGGAACTCCACAGAATTCCTGGATAGATATATTGCTGAAGAGTCTTACAGAAACAGACAAAAGAAATTTATTAAGCTGCAATCTTTGTAGTCATGCCTATGTGTGGCTCAGCTGAGAAATCACCACAAATAGGTTCAGACTTAACTGCTCAGAAGGCCAGGGCTTGAAATGGCTGGAGGAAGACCTTGAAGGCAGTGCTTCTCTGCAAATTCACACTGGCAACCCCCCACTTTTAATGCACAGTGAAAACTTTAACACTTTTAAAAAATAGCAGCTCTGGGGGCGCCCGGGTGGCTCAATCAGTTAAGTGTCTGCCTTCAGCTCAGGTCATGATCTCAGGGTCCTGGGATTGAGCCCCATGTCGGGCTCTCTGCTCAGCAGGGAGTCTGCTTCTCCTTCTCCCTCTCTGTCTCTCTCAAATACATAAATAAATAAATCTTTAAAAAAAATAGCAGCTCTGTTGGAATAAAATTCATATACCATATTATACACCTATTTAAAGTATACGGGGGCACCTGGGTGGCTCAGTTGGCTGAGCGTCTGACTCTTGGTTTCGGCTCAGGTCATGATCTCATGGGTGGTGGGATGGAGCCCTGGGTGGGGCTCTGCACTCAGCAAGGAGTCTGCTTGAAGATTCTCTCCCTCTGCCCCTCCTCGCCATGCTCTTTCTCTCTCTCAAATAAAGAAATAAATCTTTGGGGCGCCTGGGTGGCTCAGTTGGTTAAGCGACTGCCTTCGGCTCGGGTCATGATCCTGGAGTCCCGGGATCGAGTCCCGCATCGGGCTCCCTGCTGGGCGGGGAGTCTGCTTCTCCCTCTGACCCTCTCATGCTCTATCTCA